TGTTAGAAAGTGAGTCATTAAATCCAGCCCACACTCTAGGGAAGGGGAATTCAACTTCACCACCTGAATGTGGATTATGATTATTTGTAGTACTACTGTAAGGAAGATTTGACCCTTCTCCACCAATATTTTTCCATTCAGTGGTACTTATCAGTATGTACTCATTTATGTTTATTTCATATTTTGGGTAACAGTATTACATTGTGTATTTTATAGCTTAGATTGTCCTACTTTTGGCCATTAGGAGCTCTTGCAGGTTGGCTCCTATGCTGTTTTGAAACACTCCAATTTGTTTTCTTTAGCACTTACTTTTTGGCATTATAAGATGCTCTAGGCTTATCTTTTATTTTTCCTGCTGCAGATTTTAGAATCAGGTGTTTCACCAAAGGGCCCCAGTTCCTTTTATTGAATAATGATATTTTATATTATTTATTTTTTGAGACGGAGTCTCACTGTGTCGCCCAGGCTGGAGTGCAGTGGCGCAGTCTCGGCTCACTGCATCCTCTGCTGCCCGGGTTCAAGAGTTCTCCTGCCTCCGCCTCCCGAGTAGCTGGGATTGCAGGCACCTGCCACTGTGCCTGGCTAATTTTTGGTTTTACTAGAGATGGGATTTCACCATCTTGGCCAGGCTGGTCTTGAACTCCTGACCTCGTGATCCACCAGCCTAGGGCTCCAAAAGTGCTGGGATTACAGGCATAAGCCACTGTGCCGGCCGAATAATGATATTTTAGAAACCAAGATCTCTGAGGGACCTGGGTTTTTGGGCTCCAGCCTTTTTTCCCCCCAGTCAGCTTTATTGTGATTTTAATGCATGTGTCATACAATTCACCCATTTATTAAAGTATATAGTTTAGTGATTTCTAGCATATTCACAAAGTTGTGTAACCATCACCAAAATCAATTTTAGAATACATTTTATCATCTGAAAAAGAAACCCTGGGCTGAGGATAGTGGCTGATACCTGTAATCCTAGCACTTTGGGAGTCTGAGGCGGGTGGGTCACCCGAGGTCAGGAGTTTGAGACCAGCCTGGCCAACATGTCGAAACCCTGTCTCTACTAAAAATACAAAAATTAGCCAGAAGTGGTGGCACATGCCTGTAATCCCAGCTGCTCGGGAGGCTGAGGCAGGAGAATCGCTTGAACCCAGGAGGTGGAAGTTACAGTGAGCCGAGATCACGCCACTGCACTTCACCCTGGGCAACAGAGCAAGACTCTGTCTCAAAAAATAATAATAATAATTTTAATTGTGTCCCATTTCTTTTTACTTTTGTTCATTGTGTTTTTGGTGTCACATCTACAAAACTTAGTGAATGCAAGGTCATGAAGATTTACACCTATGTTTTCTTTTAAGAATTTTATAGTTTCTCTCTTAGTCCTCCAATTCAATTCATTGTTGACGCTATCTGGAGATAGCATCAGATTCTATATGTTAAGGATTCAGTCCCACAAGAAAGACTGCCTCCATTTCGGATGCCTATGGCAGACCGATACTCCTGATGAAGGGGATTTCCACTACTCCCCTTAAAAGAATAAGGTCAGTAAGGCCGGGTGTGGTGGCTCACGTCTGTAATCCCAGCACTTTGGGAGGCCGAGGCAGGCAGATCACAAGGTCAAGAGATCGACACCAGCCTGGCCAACATGATGAGACCCCGTCTCTACTAAAAACTACAAAAAATTAGCTGGGCATGGTGGCATGCCCCTGTAGTCCCAGCTACCCGGGAGGCTGAGGCAGGAGGATTGCTTGAACCTGGGAGGTGGAGGTTGCAGTGAGCCGAGATCGCGCCACTGCATTCCATCTTGGTGACAGAGCGAGACTCTGTCTCAAAAAATAAATAAATAAATAAATAAAAATAAGGTCAATAAATTGACCTATCTTCAAATTCCCTATTTCTTCTACTTGCTCAAATCTGTTGCTCAGCACTTTTTTTTTTTTTTTTAAAGTTTCAGTTTTTATACTTTTTAAATTTAGTCATGAAAAGGAATGAACAGGCCAGGTGTGATGGCTCACACCTGTAAATCCCAGCACTTTGGGAGGCTGAGGCGTGGGGATTGCTTGAGCTCAGGAGTTTAAGACCCAGCCTGGGCAACATGCTGAAACCTCCAGCCCCACAAAAAAATTAGCTGGGCATGGTGGTGCATGCTTGTAGTCCCATCTACTCAGGAGGCTGAGGTAGGTGAATCACTTGAGCCCAGAAAGTCAAGGTTGCAGTGAGCTGTAACCCAGTGCACTCTGTCTAACCTGGGTGGTAGAGCAAGACCCTGTCTCAAAGAATCAACAGTTTTTGTACTTAACAACTTAAGAATCTATCTCTCTCTTTCTTTTCCCCCTCCCACCCCCATCCCCTGTCCTTTCTTTTCTTTTCTTTCTTTTCTGTTCTTTTCTTTTCTTTTTTTTTGAGACAGGGTCTTCCTCTGTAGCCCAGCCCTGAGTGCAGTGGTATGATCATAGCCCACTACAGCCCCAACCTCCTGGGCTGAAGTGATCCTCCCACCTTGGCCTCTTATGTAGCTGGGACCACAGATTCACCACTGTACCCGACTGATTTTTAAATTTTTTTGTAGAGATAGGATCTCGCCACCTTGCCTAGGCTTGTCTGAAATTCTGGGCTCAAGGGATCCACCTGCCTCAGCCTTCCAAAGTGTTGGGATTACAGGCATGAGCCACCACTTTATGTGGATTTTTAAAAATAATTTATCTCATTATTGATATTCAGTATTTATGGGTGAGATACCATTCTCATGCTTTCCTTTAAGTTATTTAGCCATGATTTTCTTTAGTCCTTTGAAATGTTTAAAGGTTTAAAGATAAGCTTATTTAGTCTTTGCCTAGTAACTTTAATACTTAGGTTTCCAGTTTCTATTGATTCTTTTTTTTCTCCTGTTGTATGGACCATACTTTTGTTTTACTTCATACCTTGTAATATTTTACTGAAAACTAGAAATTTAAATAATATACAGTGACACTTGCAGAAATCCAGTTCTCCTCTTCCCCAGGGTTTTTGTTGTTACCATTGCTGCTGCTGTTGTAATTACTGTTGGCTTGCTTAGTGACTTATCTTACTTAATTATATAATGTGGATATTATTTGTTATGTGTGGCCAGTGAATTCTCCACTCAGCTTAGTGGTCAGGTAATGATTGAACAGAGATTTCCTTGATTTTCTAGAACCAGTTAGTCACTTGGAATTTGTGGAGAGGCTCTGCGCATGTGTCATTACATGCCTTCAACTAAATTCAGACAGGCAGTTGCAAACTCTTTACTTTCTGGTTGCATACATTCTCAAGTTAAGCCAGAGGTATAAAGTTAGGGCCTTCTTAGGGCTTTCCTGAGCATGCACATAGCACTGGGCATGTGCATAGCCCTAAACATTGTCGTGGTCTTATAGACTCACAATAATTTGTCAGAGCTTTTCAGAACCATAATGGACAACTCTTAGCCCAGCCCAGCTTTTCCTTTAAGTTTTTTGGGTAGTCTGTTTTGTATTTTCCACTGCCTTAGGTACCTTTAAGGTTAAATAGTTGCCTGCCATTGTTTTCAACAAAGCTGCCAGGGAAAACATTTTCACATTGGCCAAGCTCCAAATCCGATCACTTGTAGACAGCCTTGCAAGTGGAGTTTTCTAGGGAACCACTAGAAAGGTCAGCTAATGACAGTTCTCTGGGAGTAAGGCTTTGGCAAAATGCCAGGCCATTCTATCCTCTCCAGGGCCTGTCAGCTTCCTTGGTTTTTACTTTGAATGTGTTTTAAGGCTGCTGCACAGCTAGAGTATAGGAGATTGGTTTAGGGTAAGTTAAAACCACATAGCTTGATGTTCTTACTGAATGTCAGCTATTTTCTTTAAATATCTACTCCTTGAATTGTTGCAAGCCTCTGGTTATTTTCTGGAATTCTGAAAATGTTGATGCTTACAATTTTTGGCAATTTGCCCATTGCTTTTATGGAAGAGAGAACTTGTCACGTTTTCTGGATTTCTTCATACTTAAAATATGGGGATACTGCAAAGGACATTCACTGCAGCAGGATTTATAACAGCAAAGGTGTGAGAAACAACCCAAATGCCCAAAATAAGGAAATAGTTTTATAAAATGGTTCATCTAGGTATACATTTGATGGAGTATAATGCAGATACTATCAGTCACCCATGTAGAGAGAATATTTCATGATGTAAAAAAAATGTTTACAATGTGATATAGATGAAAAAAGCAGAATACAAAATACAGTATGTTGAAGTTTTTAAAAATAAATTTTGTATGGGAAATCAGCAGTGTCAGCATTTATTATTTCTGGGTGATAGAATGACAGTTAAATTATGTGAGTAAAAAGAAAAATACTGTTGTTCCATATTGTGTACCCTAAAATGAGATTATTTTGTTATAAAAATAAAATGTATTTGTAGAGTATTGTTTTTCGCTCGTGAGCTAAGTTAAAATTGTATTTATGTATGTGTATGTGAGTGAGTGTGTGAGTTTTGGTGACTTAAAATAGCCTTTTATAGGGGCCGGGCGCGGTGGCTCACGCCTGTAATCCAGGCACTTTGGGAGGCTGAGGCAGGTAGATCACGAGGTCAAGAGATTGAGACCATCTTGGCCGGCATGGTGAAACCCGTCTCTACTAAAAATGCAAAAAATAGCTGGGCGTGGTGGCGTACGCCTGTAGTCCCAGCTACTCAGGAGGCTGAGGCAGGAGAATCGCTTGAACCTGGGAGGCAGAGGTTGCAGTGAGCTGAGGTCACGTCACTGCACTCCAGCCTGGCGACAGAGTGAGACTCCGTCTGGGGGAAAAAAAAAAAGATAACCTTTTATAAATGTTTGAAGGGGTGCTGTAAGAACATACTAATGACCCTGGCGCTGGGGATAACAAAGTATGTCTGAGCTACTTTAATCTCAAGAGTTTACTCTGTGAAAGGAGCTTTGTATCTGTGGGTGTAGTAGGGTGAATTATTAGGCAGATGAATAAGTTATAGTCTCATTTATCAGCATTTCATTTTTTTTCTTTTCAGGCGCATATTAAATTTCCTATTGACTACCCCTATTCACCACCTACCTTCAGATTCTTGACCAAAATGTGGCACCCCAACATTTATGAGGTAAGAGACATCCATCATAAATTTCTCTGAAGTTTTTTTTTTTTTTTTTAGTGAGTACTTTAAAATAGCTTGTCTGTCTCAGCACACTTTGATAGTTAGGCTGTTGTAGCCATAGAGAAATACTAATGATTTTGCACTTCAGTTAACAGTTTCTGGATTAATTATTTAACATTAGTGTAGTTTTAGAATACCTTGTGTATATTCCAGTTAAGGATTTGGACTTTAGACTTTTGCTGCTCAGTGCTAGAGTTATAATACACATGTGTTTAACACATGCATTTAAAAAAGTTAGTAGATAATGTCATATAAATTTATTTGTGTGCCTATCCTCTAACTTCACAGCAAGGGTCACCTGTTCCTATGATGAAAGATTCAGCTTTTGGTGGGGGGAGCGGGATTTATCCCATTACATTTGGACTGGCCTCATTTTAGGAGTTGCTGCTGAACATTTGAGAGCCTCTTTTGGAATAAATTCAAGGTGAGGTTCTTTTACTAGACAAGTGCACATGCCTGGGGAAAGCATTTCTAGCTTTCGTTGATGAAACATACTTAGCTTTGGGCTAATCCATAAGGATACTAGAATAATGCATTCTGTTTCTCAGGATGATAATATCAGGGCCCACTAGTTTTTTTCTTTTGAGGCTACTCTTTACTATTCTAGAAGTGTGTGTGTGTTTTGTTTGTTTGTTTGTTTATTTGTTTTTGAGACAATCTCGCTCTGTAGCCCAGGCTGGAGTGCAGTGGCGCAGTCTTGCTCCCTGCTACCTCTGCCTCCTGCCTCCCGGTTCAAGCAATTCTCCTGCTTCAGCCTCCCAAGTAGCTGGGATTACAGGCACATGCCACCATGCCCAGCTCATTTTTGTATTTTTAGTAGAGATGGGGTTTCACCATGTTGGCCAAGCTGGTCTTGAACTCCTGACCTCGGGATCCACCCACCTCGGCCTCCCAAAGTTCTGGGATTAAGGCGTGAGTCACTGTGCCCGGCCTACTATTCTATAAGTGTGTTTTTAAATCTCCAAATGTTTTGGGAATTTTGCAGGTATCTTTCTGTTGGGAACTTCCAGTTAAATTCCACTGTGATCTGAAAGCAGACATTGTATGATTTCTATTTTTAAAAATTTGTCACAATGTAGTATATCTTCATGCAAGTTTCATGTGAGCTCAAGAACAATGTGTAATCTGCAGTTACGGGTGTAGTAGTCTATAATGCTCATTATATACACTTGACGAATGGTGTTGCTGAGTTCAGCTGTGTCTTTACTTATTTTCTGCCTGCCAGCTCTGTCCATTTCTAGATGGCTTGAGGTGGCTGGAGTTGGGCTTTACACTTCTTCCAGGTCATATAGGCTGTGATAAAACTTGGGCAGGTTTGTAGTTAAGTAATTTCTCCTGAGGACAGACCTTGTTAAAAAGAGCAGAAGATTCTGACTTTTTTTTTTTTTTTTTTTTGAGACCGAGTCTTGCTCTGTCTCCCAGGCTGTAGTGCAGTGGTGCAATCTTGGCTCACTGCAACCTCTGCCTCCTGGGTTCAAGCAATTCTCATGCCTCAGCCTCCTGAGTAGCTGGGAGGCTGGCTAATTTTTGTGTTTTTAGTAGAGATGTGGTTTTGATGTGTTGGCCAGGCTGATCTCAAACTCCTGACCTCAAGTGGTCTGCCTGCCTCAACCTCCTAAAGTTCTGGGATTACAGGTGTGAGCCACTGCATCCAGCCCTGACTTACTTCAAAGTGGTTTCTTTTCCCCTCCTGCTGCCAGAACACAAGGGGTTGTTTGACCTATAGTCACTGTGAAAACCTGGTAGAACTCTAGGAGGTAACACTCAAAAAAATACAGGGGTGCCCACTAACTAAAGGGGCTGGAGTTTTTTACTCTGAGGTTTGTCTATACTGGGCCTCTAGCATTTTGTCAATTATATAGTTCAGGGTTTTGTACACCGGGACTGATGGAATTTTCTCCTCCTGGGTTTCTGCTCTGATAAGTTGTGATTCTCTGTATCTGCCAGTCTCAAACTCCTCACCTCAACCTCCCAAAGTGCTGAGATTACAGGCGTGAGCCACCGCACTCGGCCTGTCACTTCTTTAAAAACAAAACATTTGTGTTTGAAAAATATTTACACATTTATGGGATATGCATGCATTTTATTGTAGAAAAATTCATTATGAATATGGGGAAAAATTGTATATCATGATCTAATGGTAAATCTTGAAAGAACTAAATAGCCTATGTACTGAAAAAAAAAGTGGAAAGGGGAGTCTAATTACCTACCTACACTTTGTTCCTGTCAACGACTCCTTTATCCTGTTTTTTTTTTTTGTTTCTTTTTTGAGAGATGTTTGGGAATTAGGTAACTGAGATGGTAACAGTATGTATATGGCTTTAAGAGTAATTAACTCTCTGCTGGGTGTGGTGGCTCACGCCTGTAATCCCAGCACTTTGAGAGGCTGAGGTAGGAGGATCATGATCTGGAGTTCCAGACCAGCCTGGCCAATATGGTGAAACCCCGTCTTTACTAAAAATACAAAACTTAGCCGGGTGTGGTGGTGCGCGCCTGTAGTGCCAGCTACTCGGGAGGCTTGGGCAGAAAAATCGCTTGAAGGGAGGTGGAGGTTGCAGTGAGCCAAGATCACGCCACCACACTCCAGCCTGGGTGGCAGAGCGAGACTCCATCTCAAAAAAACAAAAACAAAAGTAGTTAGCTCTCAATTGCAAGACAAAAGCTTGGTCCTTCTCACTTCTTTCTTGCTATCTAATATCTATATATACACTACATAATTGTAAAGGCAAAAACCTTTAATTATTAGACAGGGACATTGTTATGGTCTGGATTTTGGTGTCACCCATGAATGGTATTAGCATCCTTACGAAAGAGGCAAGAGAGAACTGCCTTGCCTCTTCTCCCATAAGGATGCAACAAAACAGGCGCCATCTGTGAAAAACAAGCCCTCAACAGACCAAATGTGCTGGTGGCTTGGTCTTGGACTTCGCAGTCTCCAGAATTGTGAGCAATAAATTTCTGTTGTTAGTATATTACCCAGTCTAAGTTATTTTGCTGTAGCAACCCAAATGTACTAAGACAGATATCAAAATACTTCTGTGCATACTGAACTCAGTTTGAACTTAGGAAACAATGAATTATTTCTACAGACTCTTTCCTACAAAAGGAAGATAATGTTGTTACACAGAACAGTGTATTCACTGTTGTTTATTTATATTGTGTCAAATATTAAACAATATTTAGAAAACTTATTTCTAAAAAGAAAACTATATATCATTTCGTACCAGTCTGTTCTGTCTGAAAAAGAAAAATTAAGATGTCTTACATAAAAAACAGACTGTGGAAAATGACACAGCTGCCCCAGTGTGCTCATATATATGGAACTGAACTCCAAATTCAAGACCCTAGAGTGGGTTCTCCATTTCTTGCCTAAAAGCAATTTAAAGGTGGCCGGGAATGGTGGCTCACCCTGTAATCCCAGCACTTTGGGAGGCCAAGGCAGGTGGATCACTTGGGGTCAGAAGTTCGAGGCCAGTCTGGCCAACATGGTGAAACACTGTCACTACTAAAAATACAAAAATTAGCCGGGTGTGGTGGTGCACACCTCTAGTCCCAGCTACCCAGGAAGCTGAGACAGGAGAATCGCTTGAAGCCAAGAGGTGGAGGTTTCAGTTAGCCAAAATTGCACCACTGCACTCCAGCCTGGGTGACACAGATTCCGTCTCAAAATAACAAATAAATAAATAAAATAAAAGCAATTTAAAGGTGATGTTAGCTCAGTTTCTGGAGCAAAGGTACTTCCAACATCCACAGGGCCAAAAAAAAAAGAACTGATGCATGACTAAGATGGCAAGAATCTAAAGCAATTTCAATGCTTGGGATGCTGCTATGAAAAAATGAGACCACTGCAAAACCATATTGCAACGAAAAAGATTACAGAATGGCTTTTTTGTTTTTTGGTTTTTAGTTTTTTTTTTTGAGACGCAGTAGTGCAATGGCATGATCTTGGCTCACTGCAACTTCCACCTCCCAGGTTCAAGCGATTCTCCTGCCTGAGCCTTCTAAGTAACTGGGATTACAGGCATGTGCCACCACACCTGGCTAATTTTATATTTTTAGTAGAGAGGGGCGTTTCACCACATTGGCCAGACTGGTCTCAAATTCCTGACTTCAGGTAATCCACCTGCCTCAGCCTCCCAAAGTGTTGGGATTGATAAAATTGTATAGCCTGGTCAACATGGTGAAATCCCATCTCTGCTAAAAATACAAACATCAGCTGGGTGTGGTCACAGCTACTCAGCAGGATGAGGCAGGAGAATCGGCTTGAACCTGGGAGGTGGAGGTTGCAGTGAGCTGAGATGGAGCTAAGACCAGGCTCAGTGGCTCATATGCCTGTGATTAATCCCAGCACTTTGTGAGGCCGAGGTAGGCGGATCACGAGGTCAGGAGTTTGAGACCAGCCTGGCCAACATGGTAGAACTCTGTCTCTACTAAAAATACAAAAATTAACCAGGCGTGGTGACGGGTGTCTGTAATCCCAGCTACTCAGGAGGCTGAGGCAAGAGAATTGCTTGAACCCAGTAGGCGGAAGTTGCAGTGCCACTGCACTCCAGCCTGAACAACAGAGCAAGACTCCGTCTTGTGGGGAGGGTGGGGGTAGGGGAAGAAGTGATAAATCATATTTAGGAAGTAAATTTGATGTTGTCAAAGGAATCACAAGAAACTGTCACGTAACTATTAACCTTCACCGCAGTATGGAAATGGTATCAGAATTGAAATTTTTGAGGGCCAGTGTTGGTATTTGTGGTAATAGAGATCTAGAGACCCCATCTGGCTGAAAATAGTTTCTTATGTCATGTTTTTTTTGTTGTTGTTGTTGTTTTGAGATGGAGTCTTGCTCTGTCACCCAGGCTAGAGTGCAATGGCGCGATCTTGGCTCACTGCAACCCCCGCCTCCCGGGTTCAGGCGATTCTCCTGCCTCAGCCTTCTGAGTAGCTGGGATTAC